TTTTATATTTCAATAGTTCAAAGAAATAAAAATATCATGGGCTATATATTTGGGCATAAAAGCGAAATTTTTTTTTTTAGTGCAACTTTTTTTAAAAAAAAAATCGCAAGTTATTTACTAGATAGATCAGCAGGATATCGAAAACATAATTTTTTAAAAATCCACAGGTCCCTGGTCAAAGATCTTTATATATCTTCTAAATCTGGAACTAATTATCACATGCATCGAACGTAGATCACTGGTAAATTTCCGGAGTTTTAAGATCCGGTCTAATCGGATTTTTTTGAATTTTTACTTCCCACATAAGTATATAGAATCATTGTTCGGGTATCATTGTTCTTTTAAAACTCAATTACAAATTTGTACCATTAAATAGTTTTTTTTTCATTTTTTTTTTTCATCGTAATCAGTGAAGAATTGAGTCTAAATTTTTTATTATTATTCAATTTTCCTGCTTCTCATGTGCCTTTCTAGAAACGGCTAGTCTAACCGTTACATGTGTATCTAGTAATAGTACTAGGTTGAACGATTATACGTAGTTTATGAAAATAAAAAAATTTATCATTAAAGAAAAATGGCGCATGTACACTATATTCATGACAGTGCCGTCATAACTTTATGTAGTGAAACAACCAAAATATGCTTATGTTGGGGATTTAAGTGTCGCAAATGAAAAATTGGAAATCTTACCTATAAAGACTTTCAAGGCTTTCATTCATCGGCACTCAATTAGAATTTGTTTGTCGTAAATCGGAGTTTATGTGCTTGTGTATATTCGTAAATGTTATATATTGCGGAATTATGAGGTTTGTTTGACTCTTAATTTTTTGGTGTCTATAGTCAGATAGATACACTACAATGTCAACCAATTATAATAAAATCGATAATTCTCAATCAAAGATTGTTGATGTAAATTTGGTAGAATCGGCATTTGATGGTATAGAATATAATTACATTAAAAATACAGAAAAAACTTCTGTGAATGAAGATAACAAGCCATTAGAATCTGACAAAATAAACATGAATAAGTGTGTTGCAACATCGAACTTTGACAGTGGCACTAATGTTAAAGACTTGGACAAGAAAATAGATGTGTGTGATAGACAAGTGGATGGTGAAATAGTTGAACATGAAAATGTAGAGGTACAAAAAGAAAAATCTCAAGACAATATGAATAAGAACCTAGCTGAGGAGATCACGAATGTTCGCGATCAATCTGATGATAACACAAATAAAATACCTATAAATGAAAGGAAAGAATTCGCAAGAAATGACTCGTTGCAAGATGGATCTTCATACAATGACAAACATTCTCCAACCTCTGTAGTGAATTCAAGTCCTGGAACGGCATCTTCATCTTCTAATAAAGATTTGAAAAAAGAAAATAAAATTTCAACAGAATATATCAAAACGGTGTTTCACGTACACTTACCTCAAAATATTAAAGAATTCGGCGTACCAGGTGATTAAATAATTAAAATAATTTTAGTGCGTATCTCCCTTAAAGCAGTAATGATAATATTTTTTATCTTGATTCTTTAATTACTTTGAAGCTGTCGTTGGTAATATCAAGGAGTTAGGGATTTGGGGTAATCCGATTGTCAAGCTTCATCAAATTTCTCGTCATCTCTCCCCCAGTTGTGCTAATACCTACTGGATTTCCGATCCCGTTCGGATTTCTTTAAAAAATATCGAATCTATTCAGGAAATACGTTATAAATATGTGGTTGTTCCAGCACAGCAAAATGCAAAAAAAACCAAAGAAGTCACAACTATGATCTCTGAAGGCTTTGCTGATGTGACCGAACGTATTCTTTTATTGCAAAACAATCAGTATGATATATGGACGGACGGTGATTTACTCCATATTAGTCAAGTTGAAGATTATTATTTTGCTGAGCTTATATTCAATTCTATAACTCCAGAAAATTTTAAAGAAAAAATTATAGAATATCAAGCAATTAATAGGAATCATTGGCCAAAGACAATCCATGTAGTGTCGATCGAGTTTTTTATAAAATGCTTACGTAAAAGTAAATCTAAAGAGCATCGTCTTTTAGTACTTGTCTTTTTGGGATATTATGTTCACAGAATTCAGGGACGTTCACGTCATCGTGTTGATTTACCAGACGAATTTCCTACAAATTTGTTACTTGATGTATTAGAATCTGTTCAAGAAAATACTTTTCCATCTGATGTGCATCAAATTGTTATGAAAGCTGTGGAAACTTTAATTCGTCATAACGTTTTCAACGGAAAATTTGACTGGATTAAAATATTTCCCATTGCTGAATTGCTTGATCCGGAATTCAAATTCGTCGAATCTCTCAGGTTCAGATTCGATGAGAAGACCGAATTGCATTTTCTCGCTACTTTGCATGACAAGGCATTCCATTACATTGACCAAATCAAAGATTTAGAGGCCTATGCTAGAGTTGGAAAGGTATTTTTAAATATATATTTATCGATTTAATTATTGACTATTAATAGTTTTATGTTTTTTAGTGGTTAATTTCAATATGTGAAACGATGAAATCACTAATCTACCTTTGGAACAATATAATTGAACATGATGAAAATGTCATAGTTTTACTTCACCACACATTGTTAGAAAGAGTCCAAAAGAATATACGACTTAAGGATATTGTTCAATTACATGAGCTATTCTTTGAACTTCCAGAAGACTTTGCTGAGTTAGTGGCGGAAGCATTTCGAAAAAGAATTATTGTGCATTTGCAAAATAGTCTTAAATTTCCAAATTTGCCATCAAAACATTCAGAAGCAATATTTCAATTTTTAGATAGTGAAAAACTTTTTTGGACATCCGATGATTATATTAAAATATTGAACTTATTCTCTCAGTTCACTGACATTCAAATGTTGTACTATTTTCATAAACTATTAAAAGCCTTTCAAGATGAGTATGATGACCTCAAAGAAGAACGGGAGACCCTTTTTAAAATTTGTAAAAAATGGTATGAACGCCTCTTGGATCGTTTAACTACTTCATCTCGTATTCAACAGGATACTATCCTTTTGATTTTCCATCATGCATCACTTCTCCACGAGAGAATTGGAAGACATACAATGCTCTGGAAAAAAATAATAGAACTCGCTGTCCATAGTATAAAACAATTTCCCGAAAGTCTTGTTTTCAAAGCTATACCAAGTGTTGAGAAGCTTCCTCCGGAAATTGTTATGCATTTTCGTCGAATAATTGAAGAAATGTTGACTGCTTCCACGCAACATATCGATGATCAATTGATCATAAGAATTAAGCAAATTGGTGCTCTTTCAGGTGAACAACTTGTGATTCCGAGCTCGTAAGTATCCTTACGTTTATTTATTAATATTTGTTCAATATAATTGATAATTTAACTTATTTTAACTTAGGCTAAGCGAAAATTTGATTTGTCATATTATTGAATGTTTGGAAATAAATCACCCATCTTATGATACGGATTTAGATACAGCACCGGCAAGTTTTCACCTATCTCTTCTTAGTGCAGCGAATTTTTGGAAAATGATCTTGAGAGCTGATGGTTATGTGGGAAAGTTAAATTCACTTCATTACATTAAGATGGTTAAAAGAGCGATTTCACAATTGGGTCTTGATATAATAAAAGAATCAATTGATATTTTTCTCTTACAAAATATTTGCAAATATGATGACGATTTTTTATTTACATATTTTGAGTCTGTATCAATACTCGATGATGAAAATGTTGAGGTACATGTCACAAAAGAAATTTTAGAATCAATTAAGGAACAAACCAGAGAATATTTGCAAACATTTGAGCATCTTAATGCTTTCTATGTACGATATTGTTCGGTCACTAAGGTCATAGATGAACATGACTATATTAGTCTTTTACATGAACAAAAGAACATATGGGAATCAATTTCACTTGACCAAATCCGGCGTCCAGAAATATGGGAGGATCATTATGAGATTTTAGATGTTGCCAAGAAAGTTTACAAATACAATAAATCCCAAACATTTTATAACGTTTTTGAAAAAATTTTGCAAGAAATCCCGTATGAAATAAATGTACAAACCCTTGTACAAGACATTATGCCAGAAGTTTTTGAATCATACGTTAAAGATTGTTCTAAATTTCAAAATTGGGAAGATCTTCAATTGACTTTCGCAGCAATGTTTTGGAAAAAAGTCACAAATATCAACATTGAGCTTGAATTCATGGCTGAATTTATTCCCAAGAATCAAGATCAAAAGTACATGATGACCCTTAATTATCTTTCTGAAATTTTGAAAATAACACAAAAGTTACATCAACTATCAACTGTGTTAGAAATATTTAACGTGCCTCGGAGTGAACAGGATTGGCTCTCAAAAGCTCTTAGTGATCTTGAAGAGCAATCAATCTTTTTAGGTCAATTAAACTCTGTATTTGATACTATTAGTAATTATCTTGACATCATTGATGAAAATGGCTGGTCATTAATTAAAGAGCTCTCAATTGCTGAAGACTTTATCATTTTTCTAAGATCTATTGCGGAGCACGATCTTAAAAATCTTATAAATGGTGTCGATGATCATTCAGATGAACGATTGATTCAGGAAGACACAGTTTCATCTCTTATTCAGGTTAAACAATTTTTGTTTCCGCTATTGAATGCTGCACCAACCTTAACCTTGGATACATTTTTACAAGAATTATTTAAAGTCATTGAATTGAATCCAACACTCGCAACAAAAGTTACATTATGCAATAGCAACAATATGGCATTACAAAATATGTATGCAAACATTAGTAACAGAGGAGAGGTGACTAAAGAAAAGATTCGAAATGCTGTTAAAATTGGAACTTATAAATTTGAATGGAAATCAACAGATAAAAAATGTTCAGTGAATTTATCATATCCAATTACAAAAACAAGAATTGTCACATATAATTTTAATGATTTGCAAGATTTGCGAGGACGAGCTCTTTTAATTGCAAAACCAGATATCACAATTAGGGATTCGAACGATGGGAACAAAGAAGATAAAACAAAGGATATAATGGATGAATTTGTACGTCAAGTGGATATAACTCAGGATATCGTTAATAATATCGCCGCGAAATTGATTGAGGCCGGTCATTTTGGATATAGAGAGTTTCAAACTTCAGTCAAAGGGTCTGAAAATATGATTCAATTGGTCGAAAAATTAAAAGCGGAGCTTAGAAAATGGTAATTATTAATGTCTTTCTACCTTTCATATATATTCTATTAATGTCTGATGTTCCATTGATTTATAGGGAAAATTTAGTGAATAAAGCACAGGAAAATAATTACTATCTAACATTCTTTCCAGCACGACATATCCTAGAATTTTATGATTTTTTCACAAGTCGTTCACCTAGCAATACTAAACTATGCCAAATACTCGTTAAATTTGTAAACCCGAATGCCAAACTACAGACTAGAGACAGAGCTTTAACAATTGCTCAAATCCGAAAGGATTCACATCTTCAGATATTGAATGATATTGGAACTAAACTGCAACATATTTTTGAACCGCCAAAAGCTCCACGTCTCCTAAAAACCCCAATAGAACGCGTAGCATCAGATGTTGTGAGTCGTGGAAAGCTATTTGTTGCCGCATGCAATGACAAGTCACGTGTTCCAAACATTATAATGTCGTTGTATGCAAATCATGGATCGTTTCCTGAGCCTTGGCAAATCCTGATTTGTACTTCTTCCACAACTTCGGAAGAACTTTCAATATTTATCAAAAGATGTTTTTTGGCTTTTAATAAAGGATACAAAAACCATTTGTTTTGCATGGCAAATTTGGAATTACTTGACTTTGAATTACAATACAATTTAGTGAACAAGATTCGATCCATGCGAGAAAAAGAGCCCAATTACTTCCTAGCGTTAATCTGCTATTCTGAAGGTGGAATGCAACATCACATATTGGATCAATTTTCACAAGATGTTCACCCAACAAACGGTCTAAGTTCTAGTGCAATGTCAACTATTTATCAAAAATTATGTTCTAATGTTACATGCGTGTCTTCGGATCTTTCAGGTCAGGGCAAAACGGAATGGATTAGGCGACAGTGCTTTGAAAATAATAAACTTCCAAAGAGTTTTCTCATTAGTGATGGTGCTGATTTTGGAAAGCTTGTTAGACAATTAAAAGAGTTTACACTTAGACCAATAGAATGCGTGCATATAAATATAATTTCATCAGATTATCCCGGTGATGTTAATTTGTTTCTTTTTGAACTTTTAAGTTTTGGAATTGTATCTAATAATGCTGATATAGCAAGCCTTCCTCGCGCATCCATCATACCTGTATATATTGAGATTGCATCGAGCTTCCAACAGCATTTACTAAGATCACTTCCGATGATGGATTATTTGCCGAAACATCATATTACATGGAATATTGATAATTTGATAATCTCACGAGATATTAATAGTCCCATGCAAATAGTATGTCATTATTTATTTGCACTTCATATGATTCAGATTGATACAAAAAACATTTCGTTCATGGATACAAATACAAAAAATGATGAAACCTGGGATGCACAATGTCGAGAACTTATAAATCGATATTTCTTTGAAGACAATAATTCAGAAGAAATACTATCATTCCGATTTTTGGAAATTTTTATTAATGTCTTTGCTAATCAGTTGATTCGACTATCTTCAAGTTCATATTTCAAAGTTGAAAATTTAGCTTTAATGCTTGAAGAAGAAACAAATATTAGGACGACATTAGTAGAAACGTTATTAGAAGTATCAAAGGATTTCGCCATGAGATCAATTCAAACGAAATCAGCACAATTAGAGGCAACTTCATTTGATGGCAATGAAAGTACACAATTAAGTACAATTATGAAGTGGGATGATTCAAATCATTTATTAGTATTTTTTTTATCACAAGCACCAGATTCTATTTGTGCCTTGTATCGCGATAAGGAAAAAGTTCCCGAAAATGTCCAAACTTTGCTTAAAAGCCAATTTATCGCACAAAATTTGGAACAATGGGAGCTGGATGATTATTCGAAATTGTCGGCCGAAGTTCTATTGGAAAAATTGGAAAGCATTGCTAGAAAAACATTTCATAAGATTGAATATACACCTTACGCATTGTCTGCAGATAATTTGGTGAAGATGGCATTAATCTTATTGAGAACACGTGCAAATATTCCGGTCGTAATTTCCGGAGAAGCTGGATGTGGAAAGGTGATATATACACTTAATTAGGGGTCTGCAAATGACCATGCCCGGCACATTGGCACCAGGCCGGGCACTAGTGCCAGTGCCAGGCACTATTAAAGGCATAGGCACTTTGCGCCAGACACTAATGCCAAGCACTATTAAAGACATAGGTGCTTTGCGCTGGGCATTAATGCCAGGCACAAAATGCAGGTACAAGGTGCCGGGCACAAAATACCAGGTGCAAAATACCGGGCACAAAGATTAGTTGCGCAACCAAATTTTAAAATTGGTTATAATTTTACTAATAAACCACTAACCCACATAATAAGTGTCGCGGTTGAAATTGAAATTTGAAACTATATTTATATGATGGGTGTTTTTTTCCGCTTTTTTTAGGGTTAGGGTTTAGGGTTAGATTTGATATTTATAGAGTATATAGGTGGATTTTAGTAGCTTATAGTTTTAAATCGAGCTCCCAAATTTCAGCATCTTAATTAACGAAAGACGAAACTAGGTTTCGCGTGAATTCGTCTAACAACTATACCTGTGTCTATGCCCATGCCCATGCCTATGCTCGTGTCCATGCCTGTGCCCGTGCCCATGCCTGTATTTTTTGTTGGGCATGGGCACGAGCCCGGGTTGCAGACCCCTACACTTAATGATGTCATTGTACTTTGATTAATATGTTTGTGTTTATTAATCAAGTTATCTATTTTTCCAGACAAGTTTGATTGGATTCTTGGCCGAAGTTGTCGGAGCTCAATTCTTTGCTCTTAATCTTCATGCTGGCATTAACGAACAAATTATTACTGAATTTATGACCAACGCCCGTAATAATGCCAAGAAAGGCGAAGTTTGGATATTTTTTGATGAGATTAATACTTGCAACCACATAGGTCTTCTTTCGGACCTAATAGCTCATAGAATTTATCTTAGCAACCCAATACATCACAACATTCGATTGTTTGCTGCGTGTAATCCTTACAGGATTCGCACCAAAAATATTAGTGAGGCTGGATTACAAACTAAGAAAATTAAGAAATATGAAGAACAAAGTAATCTTGTTTACGAAGTAAAACCGCTTCCAGATCAAATCCTTGATTATGTCTGGGATTATGGTATACTTCAACCAGATGATGAAAAACAATATATTCAAATCATGGTAGCTACACAATTAAAGGAATTAAATCACCCAGCTTTAGCTGATCTATTATCAGCCTCCCAACAATATATTAGAAATGTAGAAGAACCATATAGCGTTAGTCTTCGTGACATAAAGCGTGCAATAATTTTGATTCAATTCTTTTACGAGAGTTTACAAAATCGTCCTCCAATTCGCAAAAATGTATCGAAATATCCGCCGGATTCACATGTTAACATTCGTTCATATATTTTAGCATTAGGACTTTGTTATCAATCGAGGTTGTATGACCAATTATTACGCAAAAAATATAGAGAGATTATGTGTGAAATATTTAAAACTTACGATGTTGACGTAGATGAAAAAGAATTCATTAAGATTATTAGAGATGAACAAGAAGATTATATTAATAGGATGATTTGTCCGCCAAATACTGCAAAAAATGAGGCGCTTCTGGAAAATGTTTTAGTTATGACTGTTTGTATTTTAACTAGAATACCTGTTTTTATTATCGGCGCGCCTGGGTATGTTACATATTTGTTTGTCAATTAGATAGTATTTTAATATGGTAGTGTACTTATTTTTGAATTTAATAGATCCTCAAAATCATTGGCCATTCGCCTTGTTGGCCAAAATCTGCGTGGGTCCGATTCGAATGATGAATACTTTAGGAAATTGCCACAGGTAAATAGATAGACGATGACGTTTGTGTTATGCAGATTTTTTTTCTTAATGAATCATGTCGATTAAAATGTACAATGATATATATTAGGTGTACCTTATTCCTCATCAAGGTTCATCATCTTCAACATCCGAGGGAATTTTAAAGGTTTTTCAAAAAGCTCAAAACTTTCAAGAGACAAGTTCAAATGAATTTCCCGTAATCAGTGTAGTTCTATTGGATGAAGTAGGACTGGCTGAGACAAGTCCATTTAATCCGTTGAAGGTACTTCATTCGTTATTGGAACCAAGTTATAAATCTAGCCGTCCTAGCGTTTCTGTTATTGGAATAAGTAATTGGAGATTGGACAATAGCAAAAGTAGTAGAGCTTTATTAGTTCAAAGGTTTGCATAATTTTACCACTATTACTATTTGTTTGATTTTCATCGAGTTAATTTTTACATGTGATCATTTATCTTCAGACCCAGGTTTGACTTAGATGATCTGGTGGATACTGCAGTTCGAATATTGGACAATAAAATTTCTGACCATATTCAAAAAGCATCTTTATACCCACTCGCAAAAGCATATTCCATTTATGAGCAAGAAGGTCAAATTATTCCAAACTTCCATGGCCTAAGAGATTACTATGCTTTCATTAAATCCCTCTCTTTGAATGATCTAACTCCAGAAAATATTCAAATGTCGCTGGCGAGGAATTTTGGTGGTACCGACAAATTTTCCGAAATATGTCAAAAATATTTTGGTAACGCAATAAATGGATTTAATAATCATAGAGGTTGGATTTGTAATCCTATACCTACTGAACAATTAATACATTTGAATTTGGATGATGAGGGCGCGAGACATTTAATGACTATTGGAAAAAGCGATTCTGTAGTTAATTTATTGGCATATAAGTTAAGACAGAGAAATTTAGACCCCGTTATTATTTTTGGATCACAGTTTCCTAATGATCAGGATGATTATTCCTACAGCGTTCTAAATAGAATTATGGTATGATTTTTTTCACATTGCCATAATATACTATTTACCACTGCATATAGATCCCAAAATAATGTCCTACGTACCATACAAGAAACTCCTTCACCAATAAAATCACTGGACTCGTGAATACTAAGCAATTGAAAAAAGTATGAGCCCTTGAATAAACCGGGTGTTATATACAGTGGTAAATAGTAATAGCAGGATTTGGAATTTGGGTTAACATCAACGAATATGTGTATTTAATCATTATTAGATGTGTGTTGAAGCGGGAAAACCGTTAATTTTGACAGACTTAGAGATTATTTATGGTATATTCTTATAAAATAACCTTCAGTAAGCATATAACGCTTCCATTAATTAATCAATGCATTTGTATTCAATAACAGGAAGTCTTTATGATTTGTGGAATCAAAATTATATAGTTGTCGGAAGTGCTGAAGACCCAAAGTATTATACCAGGGTAGCACTTGGAGCTTATGCTAATCCGATGTTGTAAGTCTTGTTTATGGTGTTTATAATTCAATTTCTTAAAGTTTATGTGAACGAAATAATAATTTTGTTTACAGGTATGTCAACAAGAATTTTAGATGTATTCTTGTACTTGACGAAAAGAACCTACCAAAGGCGGATCCACCACTCTTGAATCGTTTTGAGAAACAAAAGATGACAATCAATGATATTCTATCATCTGATGAACTTCTGTTAGTACAACAATTATCAAATTGGGCACAGAATATGTCGACCATTATGTCATTGAATGAATTTGTTCCAACGCACAAAAAATTTACTCAAAAAGATTTGTTCATTGGATTTGACCAAGACGAAACTTTACAAAGTTTGGTAATAGATGTTAGAAAAAATAATCCACAACTTCAATTGGATGAGATACTCGTAAGGTGTAAGGAAATATTAATTACCATTACTTCCTCAGATGGAATTATAAGAGCTGAAAAGAGTGCACTGAGTCGTGACGAAGTTGATTATTGGAAGAATGTTTATTTTAATTTACATCATGATCATATCGCTGCTTATTTTAAAAATTTGTTTTGTGATCAGAATCCGAAAACAACCACTGATGGACATCAAGTGATCATCAACACATTTTCAAATATTAATGCAGACGTTAAAGTATGTTTACAAGGTATCACCACATGTACTGTGTTAAAGCTCTCAACATTCAAAACAGAGGCTCAATTTCAGAACAGGATTAAGCATTTTTGGTTTGAATCACCGAGTGTTCAGACATTGATTCTACAATGCGACGTCACAACCGTTAATTTTGGATGTATTAAACTAGCTAAATTCATAATTGAGCAATTTAGGACAGATTATTTGAATATGAAGCAACAGCAGAACGCACATGATACAATTACTAAGCATGTTTGTATTATTCTTCATATTCACCGAGATCGTAAAACTTCCTTTGAATCATTTAATTTTATGTGTGAATGGAAACAAGTCACGATCGAATCTTTGATTCCTCAAGAAAAATCTTTGTCCAGTCTTTTGAATGGAGATCTATGTGATGTTATTAATACCGTGTATTCTTTTGAAGAAATTTTGCAACAAGAATTATTGTGGTGCTTGTTGTGTATGAAATATCCATCAGACGTCAAGTCGGTTGATCACATCAAGTATGTACAGTATCACTAATCACATTGTTTACTTGTGTATATCCGCTACTAACAAATTCTTTAATAATACATGAATCCATAATTTTCTAGAACACTTATTGCAGAGATTCCTCAGCAACCAGATTTGGTCAATTTCTTAAAAACCAAAACATTTGAATGGCTTCAAGATAACTCACCCAACGATTGGCAATATCATGTTGCATCTGACAAAAAACTATTGTATCCCTATTCTTCATTTTCAACAGCTTTACAATCTCACATACGTGCACTGGTTCGAATACCTATCGCTAAACTTCTTTGTTGTCTTGAACGATTATTTTTAACAAAGACTTTCTTGAATCTAAAATGTTCAACATCCAAGAATTCTAAATTATTACTTGAGTTTTGGAAACAAATGACTAATGACAAAGATTTTTTAAATACTGATGAGTTATCAGAACCGAAACCAGATGGGTACTTAATGCCAAATATTTCCTATGATCTTCAATTCCCATTTTCCTATTATTTTGTTAAACAAATTGATACTTTCAAAAAACTTTACGGAGAAGAGATTCGTTTACTTCAAGAAAATCCTACTAATATTGATCCTAACACGGGAAAACTTTACGATTATATGTTTGAAGATTACATAATGGGCTTGAAAAATAATATTATGATCTCAATTCCTAATCTCAATACATCTCCACTTGAATATGCGCCAGAATTATATTTAGAAGATTTTATCACTATTATTTCTGCTGATAATAGATCAAACAAAAAAGACATTCCAATTCTATTATTTATTTTTAAATACAATCTTGGATCTGAGAAAGTATTGGATCCTATTTTAGTTCACGCTTTTTGGTGGGAACATTCCAATCAGATTATGGCAGAATTTCAGCTGGCCAAGTTATGTCCTTCAATTATTAATGAAACTATCTTCGAGAATGGAAAAACAACAAATATGCCATTTGGATATTATCTCATCGAAGGAATTACTAAGATGATGTTTCAAAAATTAAATAGCATCAAACCTGGAACATCAGCAGCTATTCAATTTCAATGCTGGCAACGAGAAGTCTCCAAGGTTTTATCTCTTAGCAAAAGACTCCCGGAGGCTTCAACATTTGCATCATTACATTTATTACAAGTATGTCATAATTTTGTTTCAGCGGATCCAATCTCAATATCAAATATGAAAGAAATAATGAAAGCTGGAAAGGGATCAAAGGGTCCCGATATATTCAATCAAAAATTTATCGAAACAATTTTTTCATTAATGAAAAAGCTTCCAAATAATAATGAGAATTCTATTCTGAAATTATCTTTTATTAACGAATGTCTTGATATGGTTCCTAAAAATTCACCTTCTCATAAGGATCTTTATCAGAATATGTTTTCACAAAAGCCTTTTCATTTTATGAGCCCAATTATAATTCGTGTGTTAAAGTGTGAAGAAAAAGATAGCGTATTTATGACACTTATTAAAAATCCAAATCAAATTTTCACTCTTTCTTCAAGGCTAAGCCTTATTAATGAATGTTTAAAAGCACAAGGACTTGATTCGGCAATGTCAACTTTATGTTGTGACATTATTCAAAAGTTGTACTTCGCGAAATTATCATTTCTAGAATTAACAAATAACTTTAGAGATGTTGTTGAAGTACTTTGTCACACTAAAGCCGTAGCTTTACAAAAGATTTGTGCCATAGCGTTTCTCAAAGAATTTGCAAAACAATTTTGGGATTATTCAATTCAGGAGAACATAATGGAACCAATCAAGTTTGATACTGCGAAAAAAATTGGCGGCATTGATACAAACGCACTAATTCAAGAAATAAACGCTTCTATGAATTTAACTGATCCATTAATTTATTCATTCAAGATATATTTCTTAAGAGAGTTGCGTGACAAAGGTTTGTCTATGAACGAAGTTCGAAGGTTTTGCGAAGCACAACAACAAATATTACCATGGCTTGGTGACTTGCCTTGGGATTCCAACAACGAAACAAGACTTCCATTTAATCCGTATTGGAGCCTTAAAGATTACATTACGGTTGAAAAGAGTTTTACTACTCTTCATAGCCTTAACAACAAAGCATCATTTAATCTCTTTTTTACATCATTAAAAAAGAAAGATTCGGCTGATAAATCCTTGATAGCTTTAATAGGTTTTATTATTAGTCGACTTCATATAATAAGGGCTTCACGTGATTGGACAGAGGAAGAAAAAAAAATAGCAGAATTTTTAAAAGAAAAAGTTGATCATTCAAGTGTTCCGTCAACTATATATAAACAGACTATCAACAACATAATATCAAATAACCATTCATTGCTTAGAATAAACCAAAACGTTACAAATTCTGAATTACTAGTAAAATCTGTCATTGGCCATGTTATTGCATTACATGCATCAATTCCGGCAGAATCTACCCCTTTAGCATATATGCTACATAACTTGAATAATTGTTCTGACCTATTTATACCTACCTGTGTTTCTGATACCGAAGTGCGTATTTTCATCGTTATCGTCACTAATACATTCAAAACGTTAATATACATTCCATTTAAAAAAGGCACTGATTATCTCAGCCGTAATCCAGAGCGGACAAGTAACTCGGTATGTTTTTAGAAAATTAAACTTTGATTCGTTACTTTTACGACCAAGAATTTAACCATAGACAAACATATAGATATTCCTGCGAATGTGGATATAAATATGTTATAGCAGACTGTGGTAAGGCATACTCCATTGGCACTTGTCCTGAGTGCAAGAAAGTAATTGGAGGGCATAACCACATTTCGGCCCCAGGACAAAAAAAATTGGATTCAAATCCAATCACTAATACTATTTCTGCAAGGGATAAACCCGGGTATATTATGGAATCAGAAAGTCCCTCAATATTACATTGCCTTCGTTCTTTGACCCCGGTTTCTTATAGAATTTTACATTTATTTGTTCATATAATAATTGGAGCTTGGGCGCATACATCAATTGCAAAATCTTTTTTAGATAAGAATAATCAGGCGAATACTAATGTTTCAACTTATTGTATGGATCATATTACCAACGACTGGAATGTACTTCTAAGAATCTTGAATACATCACATGAAAATTTAGCATTATTATTGCATTCGATTCTCGACTTGATGACAAATTCACCTTCCAAAAATACATCGTTAAGGAAAGCAGCAGATCGTAAAGAGTGGGAATCATATTTTTCCGAAAATTATATTTCTCCGCTTGTAAAATCAATTACAACAACAGCAAATAATTTCCAGAATCAAATCGATACAGCCGCAACTAACTCAAAAGATAGCATCAACAGAATAGAAGGAGAGATCAATCAAACCTTAGAGATGGATAAACAGCATAATCTGGAACACCTCCCAAAGCTGTGGCGCATAATTTGTGATATTAACTTTGAAAGTTTCCGTGCATTTTATTTTGTTGACCTGACCAAACATTCAAAAAATTTTCCGTTTCTCTCTGTATTCTATAAGCATAAAGAAAATTTAGAACTTATTAAATACATTTTACCAATTGTAAAATTTGTACGAATTTTGTCAACAGCACTCGAATATCGACTGAGCAGAACACAAGCACAGCAACAGACATTCCGAGAATTTATTGATAACGAATCATATGATGACGAAAAGAATGAAATATATGATTATTTGAGTTCAAAATTTGAAGAATTTGCAAAAGCTTGGAATATAGTTATTGACAAAGTTAAGTATTATCAATGTCACGAACTTCCGGCAACGAAACCTCAAATAAACCTTAGTTCTCCTATTGTATTTGGATTAATGGAACCAAAAGATACTGGTGTTTATCTTTGCGCGATTCTAGAGTATTTAATTGGGCTACAAAATAATTTCCTGCAAGAGGTTGCAGAGATTAGTCCTGGAACCTGTAACTCTCTTAAGTTCTTAGAGGATAGTTCATTCAGTAGTGAAAACAAAGCAGCATCTTCTTCAACAAACAAAAATACTATCACCAGATATTACATTCAATCGATGCGAATAGATCAAATGCAAACCACTAACTTTATTGATTTTCAATGGAGCGACGATTTTCTTCAACATAGTCAAAGAAATCTTGAGATTGGTCATGGGCATGACATTATATATAATTTACAGAAAATTGAATCTGAGCTTGCTCAATTATTAGTCTTTGAAAAAGTTCATATTAGCACTGCCGATTCACAATTATACATAGAACCTTTTCCTTACCACATGGAATTGTTTCATGGGTATATGAGAATTATCAGTGACATCAAAGATCTAATTCCACAAAAACCAATTTCAGCAGAGAAAATTGGACTTATTCTTGGATCTGCATTTTCCCCAGTATCCTCTTTCGGATATCAAGAGTCCTTATCTTATGACAATGCATCAGAGCTCCTTTCACATTTAGAAATTTTACTTTGTTTTGTTAAAAAAACTTCAGTTGGTGATGGAGAAATTTTGATCGAGGAATATGTTAATCAATGGATAAAACTTTCCAACTTGTTTACTAATGAATCATTTAACAATTTATTAAAAATCGGCTTGAAATTATGTCATTTGATATCGTTATATGAAATAGTTGAAGAACAAGTAGCGAATGGAATAATCGAATATATAGATGATAAATACAAATCACCATTAACGCCTGAATTAGAACAGGAGATTATAACATCATTAGATTTTGAATTGCGTCAAAGACAATTTTTGGAATTTGAATTTGAGATGACAAAAATTCCTGCAGAAGATTTTGTGTCAGCATTAAAAAGATTTATGCTAAGGTTTTTTATCAGTGGACTCTAATAAAGATAATGAACCATTGTCGTTATATTTCGGTGATCCAACATTGAACTTGTGGGCATCTTGGATTAATGAAGAAGTGGTTGACAATTGTTTTCCGGAAAATTTATTGGTTAAACACATCTTTGAAGCATTTATGCTTGTTTCTGCTAGGATTGAGGTGAGAACTAGAATTCCATTAATTATAATAATATTATTATATTCGAATTATTATTTCTATTAATAATTGTAATATTTTGCTTTACTTAAAATATTATAGGCGATCAAAAAACAATTACCTTCTGCAACAAAAACGGCGGCAACTAATAGCCCACCAATAACAAAAGTCGTAACCAGTAAGAAGGCACCTAAAACAATTTCAAAATCCACTAGCACTTTGTTTGCAACTAGGAAATCAAACCCCAAAATTTCAAGCTCTAGTGGAGCAAGAAGTTTAGAAGCAACAGCTTCAAAAACGCAATTGACAAAAACATCTACTTCTCAAGTACAAAAGAAAGATACTGTAAAAAAAGGATAATAGATATTTTGTTATTTTGTTTATATACAATTAGTTGCTTTTGTAATAAAAATTGTTCATATATATAGTCGTAAAAGTTATTAAATTATATGGAAAATTTTGGCCCGCATTACATAATTGTTTACTAATTTCCGGCCTGAATTAATTTTTTTAATTTTTTTAAAAAAATCGGCCCAGAAATAGGGTTGTAATAACTTACCTGACAATGTAACTTACATTGTAAGTTACATTGTAAGTTATATGACTCTATGTAAGTTACAAAATATAATAAAGCAGGCTGGCTTTGTATTAATGCTAATCAGAATAAATTTAACCGCATTAAAGTTATTTTTTTTATTATTTTTTTTTAAGCGATCCTGCCTCTATTTATTTTATAAACTACTATATAATTATTATACAAATAACAACTTTATAGTGTGGTTTTCTGTTCTAATAGAAACTTACCAAGCTAATACCCAATATGATTTATTATAACAGCTATTAGTCTTTCTTGGGATTTAAAACTAACTTTGAATTTTGTAACAACAAAGGTTACTTCCAGGATTATTGCCAGGATGTTGTATACCATGTCAAGATCTCTTTTTTTTTTTTTAATTCTTTTTTTTTCTCAAGAGTCACAAGACAAAGAGGTGAATTTTTAATAACAAGCAAAATGAAAATAATCAGAAAAAAAAAAACAAAAAAAAAAAGAAAACACTAATTTTGAAAAAAAAAACCAAAAAAGAAATCTAAAATTCTAAAGGACTATTATAACCCATGCATGGCTAATAAAAATTATATAACAAATACAATATTTGTATATTTCTAATATAAAACTTAGTTTTAATATTAAGTTTACTTTTTGACTTTACAACAACTTCAGATAACTTTATTGCCTATCCTAATTTGTATCTTAAGCCAGTCGCTGCTGCCATTTGAGAACAGGACTCTGAAAAACTCTGATACAATTTATATGTTTTTAAAAAAGAAAATTTTGTATAGAAATTCATCAAACATTGCATTTTTATATAGTAATTTTTACAATCATCAATTCATCAAACTCTTTCCGACGATTACTAAAACCAAATTTTCCCACTAATTGAAAAACAAAATTTTTGTTGGAGAGTTGTGGCCTATGTTGCGGTTTATCTAGAGGTCAACGTTTTTGCTTTGCAGAACTCCTCTAAAGAGATATTTGGCATGCAAGCCAGGAGCGTTACTATACAAGATAACTGGCAAGAGGTGCTCTTGTATATAAAATCTTGATGGAGTGTGGACAAAAAGCTCAACTTCGTCGACGAAGTTTCTAGGTCATTACTTCAAAGAAGAACACAGAGGAAACAACAAAACCTTTTCTTTTCTAAAGCCACACTCTTTCTTTTGGGTTTGGTAACTTTTCTATTTCCTTCTCTCGCTCTCCTGTTAGTCTTCCAAAATTTTTTACAAAAAGTGGGGATTTGGCTTACCTCCTCCAAAAGATCAGCATTGTTTACTTTCTAAATTCGGACGGACTCAGTAGAATGCAACTACATGATGTATCTGTTTACAAGTATGGCACTACTCCGGAGAAGTCAGATCAGGGCCTCCGGTTAAAGAGATATCCGAAAGCGGTCATAAGTCGGAAGAACTTTCAACATTAAGGCAAAGCTTTACACTAGAGATATACAATCGTTGTATTTGTTATATAATTTTTTCAACCTTGCACAGATTATAATAGTGCATCCTGGTTATGAAGAGAGATGCAATCCCTCTCAACTTTTTATTCTTGTTCTATAAAAATTTTTTTTATTTTTTCCTGTTTTTTCTTTTTTGGGTTTTTTTTATTTTTTATTTACTTCGCTCTTTCCCTTTTCCCTCTTTTGCTCATTTCCCCTTTTTAGTCATAGTTTGTTTTTGTTTTTTATAGAATTTTTTTTTTTTTGGAATAATTCCAGTCATCTGTGATCTGGTAGGACTTAGGCCTGAGCTAGGTTTTTGCACCACAATATGGAACTGAGTAGTACCGGACTTCTATCTTTACATTTCTATGTATTTATGTCATTATAAATATTAATAAATAAGATGAGTTTCGGCCAGACCCGTTGATACAAAAAAAAAAAATATATATATAGTAATTTTTAAAATTATACAAACTTTATACAAACTTAGATCTAGATTGTATCAAAAATCTTTGGGGTTCTCTGAGAACTCATATCTCAAATCATCTACTATTATAATTAGAGTTACTAAGCCAAATACTGTAAAGTAGTCAGGGGATATACCGAATTAGAACATTGGGTTCTAGAATAATCTATGCATCGATTCTTGAATTTGATTAGCTCTTGCATACCTTTTTGTTAGCATTTTTCAGAGATTTTTATTCTTTTAATTTATTATTAGAAATTCAAGAATAAACACATAAGTAGACAATATAAAACACCTAGTTTAAATAATCCACAATAATTCATGCAAGTTAACACTTATTAACAAAGTAGATGAGACCCGAAATTCAAAGATTTTTTATGCACAAGCAGAAAGGTAATAAGGTAACCTTTATGCAATTTAAGCTTGCTATAACTTAAAAACACTGTCTTAATGACCTCAGCTTTAAGTAGTTTCCTTCTAATAACATTAAGAGATCTATAAAACATTAAAGACATATGCTATGATTTTGGTAGTACTGGCTTAAAAATTTACAATATTTGATCCTCTAAATCTTATATTGCGGGATCTAATAGTTATTCAAATAAGATTATTCTTATGCTTCATGTATGATATATTGATCAAGAGAGAAATAACATCTCAATGCATTTGTAGTTTATCAGAAACATGATATCCAGATTTAAAAAGAATATCAGCAAAAAAAAGATATAAGTATAAGACTGATTCTATACTCTCTGAACATTTGATTTTTTTCATAAAAATGATGATGATTAGGATTCTTTTGATCTAGCAGGCACCTGTATTTATGAATGTATAGAGAAATGAATTTTGGGCAAGATTGCAATATAAGATTAAATAAACTTTTCACCAATGTGAAATTACTGATGTCTCTAATATATAAATTTAGAATTATATAAAGATTAGATTTAGTATGCAATATTAGAATCACAAATCAAAACAGGTCTCCATACATGCTCTATAAAGATTCTTATAGTCATTAATCTAATTAGCAGACTTTGGAATGATCAAATGTAGTAATTTATATATAGTGTTTATTGAAAAAATAAAAATATATATGAATTTTGAACACTTGAATGTGGTCTGTCTTTTAATTTATAAATATATAATACTATTTAATTATTAATTTACTTATAATGCAAGTTTATTATTTTTATTATTTATAGATCACAAAAGATATAATTTAAAAAAAAATTATTATTCTGTCAAAGAGACGCATAGGTCTAATTTTTGGCATCATCCAATGAGCAAAAATTTGAAGTATTCATATTTCAGCAATACAAAAATATAAAATACCTTTGAAATTGCTATCTAGATAGTATACAATTCTTTAAAATATTTTATAATTATTAAATTTCTGTCTATTTGTTTTAAAAAATATAACTTTTAATTTGAAATGTTAGTTATCTAAGTTAATTTCATTTTTAGTATAAAGTACTATCTTATTTTTAAAATTTAGATAGCATTCAACTATATCACCAGTAGTATATCCGTTGGTATATTTAACATCATTTCATAATGTGATAAATCCAAATTGCATAGTTTATCACTTCTTAAACAAAAAGAATATCTGTCGTTACCATGGTAACCACACCTCCATGATTCATTTTCCTGTTCTAAAAGATATAATATAAATATTAGTTTATAATAATAAGAAAATAAAATAAAAATTCGCTATTACCAAACATAAGCATATTATTTATATAGTTTGAATCATCTATTTTTTTATCACTTTGCTTTATACAATATCTGATTTCAATTATTCTATTAAGAAAATAGAATTAAAGATTATAAAAAATCACCAGAACAAAGGTAATATTTATAATATGAAATAAATATTAATATTATCTATTTTTTCCTTTGTATACTCTAAAGAGATGAAATGATTTTCTTGAATAATAGCAGCTTTAAAGTCATCATAAGCTTTAATTTAAAGGTTTTTTTTTAATAAATTAAAAAAACTATAATGATATTCTTTAAATGCCAATGAATATAGTAGCACATTAAATAAGCTTCTGCAAGATTTCTCATTTTCATATTACTTGTATAATTCACTATACCTCAACTCTAAACTTAAAAAAAAAATCTCACTTCAGCATTTTAACAAACCCTAAATCCAATAAATAGTGATTTGTCTCATACAGTCGGCAAAACAATATAATTGTATGAAGTTGTACATATATATATATATATATATATATGTGTATATACAATGCTTTTTATCTATAATATGATTAATAAGTAATAAAATTCTTGGTTTGGCCTTGCAATTTTATTGGCTAGTTGCACAGAGCTGATGATCACATGTAGAATGGTCAGAAGAAATCGATATTTTGTTACAAAAAAGAAGCGATCTATGTTATCTTAATTCGGTATATTTCCTGACTATCATATCCATTCATAAACAAACATGTGGTTGTAATTTACTAGACTATCTGAATTTGGATAAACAATGCCAATCTTTTAAAAAAGTAAGCAAATCTTTTACTTTTTGCAAAAAATTTTAGAAGACTAGAAGAAAAGCAAAAATAAGTAAAAAAAGCTACTTAATTGAATAAAAGTAGGGTTCCTAGGTCAAGTTCAGGTTCAATGAACCTGAACTGAACCTGAACCTGAACCACAAATTTTGCAGATCTTTGAACCTGAACCTAAACTGAACTTTGAATTTATGAACCTGAACTGAACCTGAACTTAAAGTTCAGGTTCATTCAGGTTCAGTTCAAAGTTCATGAACATGTTCAAAGTTCAGTGACGAAACATAGTAAACAGTAAAAATATGTTTACTAAATTTTTTTTTTGTCTTTAAAATTTCC